AGGTAAGAGTAAGTGAACAGAGAACCAAACAGAAATCTAAAAAATGAAAAATATATTTATTGACATAAAAATGCAATAGATAGGATAATTTAAGATTGGGCAATTTCAAGGAGAGGATTAAGTGAGTTAGAAAATAATATTAAGGAATTCACTCAGAATAAAAATCACAGAAAGTAAACTATATCTTTAGAAAATAAAAGAGCAGTTGAGATAGGGTAAATTCACTAGCAAACACAAATATATATCTTATATAATCCCAAAAGAAAATGACGGCAATGGCCAAGAAACAATAAAGAACTGAGAATTTTCCAGAATTAGAGTCTGTAGATTAGAAAGTATATCCTGAATTCATGACTAATAATTCAAAATAATTCCACACCTAGACACATTTCAGAATAACTATAAGATATCAAAGATACAGAAAAACTCTTAAAAGTTACTAGATAAAAAAGGCAGACTATCTACAGAGATGGAAAATAGACTGATAGCAGATTTCTCTTAACTAATGATAACTGACAGAACAGTAGTCTAAGATATAATTGAGTAATATCTTCAAATGCTGAGCAAATATACCCAGATAAACTGTTATTCAATATTAAAGATAAAATATAGATATTTCCACATATATAGAAAGAGTATACTAGCCAGTCACCTTTCTAGAGAATTACTAAAAAAGTATGATTCCACAAGAAGAAATGAAGCCATAGAATCCAAGAATAATGCTGGTCACAGTGTTAAATAAAATATATGAGTAAATATAATTAAATATTGAATACAAAAATTAGTGATAAACACTTTTGTATATGTTTAAAACAAATAGGTAAAACTAAGCCTTCATTCAAGTTATAAACAAGATTGATACTTAGTAAGCAGGCAAAACATGTTAAGCAACTTTATTTTACATTAAAGAGAAAGCTGGAAATACTACAAAGTGGATTTTAATTTTTATTAGAAAAACACATAGTTAGGTATACATATAAAAATGTTAGTGTGATCACTAAAGAAACAGATAAATCACCTACAGATTTCAAATCCAGCAGTAAAATCCATGTACCAGGTCACAAAAAATATTTCAAAAAATTTTTTTCATTTAACACTATATAAAACAAATCCTATAATAATAATGCAATTAAATTCAGATTCTCTATAGAAATAGAGCAAATATGTGTTTAGAAAGTGAAACACACACTTCTAAATAACTCAAGGGGTAAAAATGAATCAAAACAGACATAAAATATTTAAAACTGAACCAAACTACATATCAAAACATGTTATGCCTCTAATAGAAACTTGAAGAACTTGGAGACTAAAATTCATTTTTAAAAATAATAAAAAGTGCTGAATTTAAATGAGGAACCTAGAAAAAGAAAAATTGTCTAAACTATAAGGAAATAGAATGAAGAAAACAATGTTGATAAAAGCAGAAAGTAATGACATAGAACACAAAAAAACCACAATAAAGTAGATAAACAAAATCAAAAGCCAGATTTTGAGAAAAGCAAATAAAACAGAATATCTAACAACTAGCAAAGAAAGAGAAAAGGCTCAGATGAATAATATTAGGAGTGACAGGGTCAGAGGCAAGTTTAACCAAATCTTTAGAATAGATAACCCTTGTAATATAAAAACAGTTTCAGAAATAGAAAAAAGATAAAGCAATTGCTGCTCAACTTATTTTATGAGGTTGGTATTGCCATGACACCAAAACTCTACAATAACAGTTTAAAAAAGAAAATTAAAAACTAATCTCCCCATGCAAACATACTACATAAAATATCACCACTAAACTCAACAGTGGGTTAAAAAACACACCAAGACCAAGTAAATTTTTCTCCAGGAATGTAAGAAATGTTAAATATCAGGACATACATTAATTAATGTCATATAAAATATCAATACATTAATAGGAAATTTTATTATATTACTGATGCAGAAAATGCATTAGATATTTTTATGACTAAAAATGCTAGCCAATTATAAACAGATGGTAAAAATTTCCTTAATACAATAATTTTGATTTATAAAAATCCTGAAGCAAATATAACATTTCTAAAACATTTTTATTACAGTAAGAAACAGAATAGATATTCCTAATATCAGTTTCTAGTCAACATCGTACAGAGGCCTCAGTAATGCAATATGACAAGAAAAAGAAATTGAGCATTTAAGAATTGAAATTTAAGAAAAAAAGCTGTTATTATTTACTGATTGTGTATGCGTCTATGTAGAAAACCTAAGAGAATTTCCAGTTTAGTCTTTTGAATTAATATGAGAGTTCAGCAAAGTAGCTATATATTCACCAATAATAACCAATAAACAATAAAATAAAAACAGATTCTATATATAATAGCAATAAAATCTAAGTTATATGAGAAGACATCTAGAAAAATAGGTTCAAGCAAGACCTGTAGGGTAAAAACTATAAAACAACATTAAGGAACATGAAGGAAGAGCTAATTAAGTAGAGGAATATAGTGTTTAATGGGCAGAAGGACACACTGTTATAAAAACTGTCTATTCTCCCCCAGATTATTCTCTATAGTTACGTAATTACAAATAAAATTCAGCAGGGCTTTTGTCAGACTTGACTAACCCCCAAATTCATATTGAATAGCAAAAGGCCAAGAGGAGCCAAAAGAACCTTAAAGAAAACAATGCAGTAGAGAGATTTACCTCACTAAAGAACAATATTATAAAACTATGGTAATTAAGGCACTATGGCGTTAGCACAAGAACAGAGAAACAGTTCACTGGATGAAATAAAGCTCCTAAAAATAGATGTGATACACGGGAAAGAGGGCATTACAAATTAGTGGTAAGGATGACTAATTTGATAAACAGTGCTGGAATAATAATGTTCTCCACATGGAAAAGAATTAAAGTAGGGTGCATGTAAGACACCATATACCAAACAAATGCCAAGAAGATTAGCAGTCTAGAAAGACAAAACTTTAAAACTGTTAAAACAAAATATAGGAAGGTTTATAATGACCTTGCCACATGGAAGGATTTCTTAAATGACATAAAAGCATACATCATAAAGGAAAATACCAATAAACTTAACTGCATTAAAATTAGAAGCCCAAAAATATATGCTAGTATAGAAGAGTTAAAAGAGAAACTACAAATTAGGAAGAGATATTTGTATTGTGTATTGCCCAAAGGATGGAAATCCAGAATAGTACAACAAAAAAAACCAAAACCAAAACCAAATGCCATCCAAACAAACAACAATAGCAAAAGAACTAAACCAACAGAATGATGGGCAAAGATACAAATAGGCAATATACATGAGCAAATCCCAATGAATATAAGTGAAAAAACTTTTCTTTTTTTTTTTTAATCCTCATCTGAGGATATTTTTCCATTTTTCTTCAGATAGAGTGAGAGGGAGGGAGAGGGAGAGAGAGAGAGAAACATTAATGTGAGAGAGATACATCAACTGGTTGCCTCCCGCATGACCCCGACCAGGCTGGGGATGAACTACAACTGAGGTATGTGCCCTTGACCAGAATTGAACCTGCAACTCATTGGTCCACAGGCTGACACTCTAACCGCTGAGCCAAACCAGCCAGGGTGAAAAAACTTTTAAATAAGATATTATTTAATACCCATCTGACTGACAGAAATTTTAAGTCTGCTCATTCCAAATGTGGTGAAACATATGGAGAAGCTCTCATAGATTGCTCATGACGATATGAATTAGTACTACCACTTTAGAGAGAAATTTTACAATCCCTAGTAAAGTTGAAAATGCAGTATTTCTTATAGGTTAGTAATTCCTCTCTGTGTTTAAACATGTATAAAAATGTTAACTGCAGTATTGGTTATGATTGGGAAACACTGGAAATAATTTCTAACTAACAATGAGAGACTGAATAAATAAATTTTAGTTTTGCATACAGCAGGATGCATGTTATATAAGTTGTAACATATGGCTTATGTAACATTATTTTTGATGATAAAGGCCAAAACAGTTTTGCTTGTTTTCAAACTTTTGTTAAAGCTTTGGAGAATATCACCTGCAAGGGGACATGAGGGACCCTTCCTAGGTATGATGCATGTTTTATATCTTCGATTAGATGCTGTCACATGGATGTATATTTACATAAAAGCTCATCAAGCTATACACTTAATTTGTGCACTTCACTGTATGTGATTTATAACAAAAAAATAAATAAAAACAAAACAGGTTCAGAAATAAATGTTCCAAATTAATTAAGATTTGTTTAACCCAGGTGCTGAATTCATGCATGTTCACATTATTCTTTGTTCTTTTCTGTGTTTGAAATATTTTACATTAAAAGAACTGACAAGACAAAGGGTACTGCCTTTTCTTTTGTTTTTGTTTTTTTTTATCCTCACCCGAGGACATTTTTCCACTTTCTGCACAGATAGAGTGGGAGGGAGAGAGAGGAAGAGAGAGAGAGAGAAACATCGATACGAAAGGGACACATCGAGTGGCTGCCACCCGCACGACCAACCAGGGCCAGGGAAAAACTGCAACCGAGGTACATGCCCTTAGCGGAAACCGAACCCGGGCCTCTCTGGACCGCAGGTGGATGCTCTAACCGCTGAGCCAAACCGGCCAGGGCGGTACTGCCTTTTCTAACTAGAACTAATCAAGGTGACAGAAAGCACTAGTGTCATCTTCTCTTCACCGCCCCTGACAACAAATCCCAGTACTCCAGGAATCAATGGGCTCTGCATAGTGAAACATATTACAAAGCGATCATTTGTTGAATCAAAGGCAAAACTCAATTCATTTCTTGACTACCTGTAGAATCTAGGCTTTCTTAAGTGAGTGGCCAGCAGTGTATATTGATACAATGCTACCAATGCACAAAGAACATCCATCCACTTAGATATTTTGACTGATGGAAGTGGGGACCACGCTGCCAAGGACTGTTCTGATGCGAATCAACAGGTGGTTTGGCATCGATGTGGCTATTCGTTCATGGGTTACAACTCTGGTTTCAGAAAAGAAAAAGAGACGATACCTTTTCAATGTAGTATTTCAAGTCGACCATATGGAAAGCAAGGTTTTATTCCAGCCAATTCTCTTTCTCTCAAAACGTGGAGGAAAAGCGCCAGTCACTGCTACTCTCACCACCAGCCACGGTACAGATGTTTGGAAAATGCAAAAATGGAGAAATGAAACAAAGAGAAAACCCTCAAAATAAGTTTTGCATAAATGAAAAAAAAGGGCATATAGTTATTATACCTACAAAAAGGTAAATTTATTTTTTATTTATCCCCCTGTGTTAAAACTAAAAGAACCAAAACAAACAAAACCATTGATGTTTTGACTTAAACAGTGTTGTGTTGAAACTGACAATTATGAGAACCAACCAAAACATGGCTAAAAGTGGGAATAAAGAACAGATTTCTTTTACTCTAATAAAAGCTCTTTTACCTTCAAGAATTTTGGAATATGACCTGTTTAAATAAATACTTACTAAAGGAACAGACCCATTGAAAAATATATGTTTTTAGTTGCTTAAACGGGAATGGAACATTTCTTTGAAATCTTGTAAGAGATAAAATTTTATTGAAATTATAACAGTTCCTTACATAACTCAGCTAAAATACAGCTTAAGAAGCAATATCTCTGAACTCCAAACTGCAAGCATATATTCCTAAGTTGGCTTAGGTAGTTCAGTCAGTATTCCAGAAGCAAATATCTTATTAGATTTAAGCACACCGATGTACATTATTCAAATAAGACTGTCTTGTTTAAAAGAAAGTTTTAAAGCCCGGCCGATGTGGCTCAGTGGTTGAGCATCGACCCATGCACCAAGAGGTCGCCAGTTTGATTCCTGGTCAGGGCACATGCCCAGGTTGTGGGCCCGATTCCCAGTGGGAGGCAGGAAGTGGCAGATCGATGTTCTCTCTCATCAATGTTTCTATCTCTCTCTCCCTCTCCCTTTCTTTCTCTCTAAAATCAATAAAGAAAAAAAAATGTTTAAAAATAAATTTAAAAAAGAAAATTTTAAAAATGTGAATGTGATTTCTGAGAGTGCATTGCCTGAATTGAAAGTTGGGTATTGATTTAGGTCCAGCTCTGCCATACTCCTGTTGTGTGTCTCTGCTTATGTTATTAAACACCTTCGGGTCTCAGTATCCACCTGCTAAAGTGGGACTTAATACACAGTCACGGCCCTACCACCAAGCTCCTTTCCTGTCCTAACATTCTATGATTCTAATGACATTGTTCCAGCACAAGACATTTTCTTTTCTTCCTTCCTTTCTTGCTTTCTTAAAATAAACAGACAAACACTCAAGTAAGTAAATATATATTAAAAACACATACACATACACTAACCAACTATCCCTCTAAAAAGGAAGAGAGAACTTCTTTGTTGTTGCCATTATCTATTCCCTAATGTGTATTTAAAAAGAGAGTTCCCATAAAAAAAGATTTTTATTTTTTCCCTAAATCAAAAATAGCATATCATTTCTTTGCCATTTGAGTTCTATTAAAAAAGAACACACAAAATCATTACAGAAATCCTATTAGGAACTTTCAAAAGGAAGAAAAAGTCACTAAAACTCCATTTAAAATTCAAATAATTTGTTTCTATGTTTTCTCTTACAGAGAAATATAAGTGCCAGCCTCAAATACTTTCATTTCCTTTTGTAGGGACAATACACTCAACTGTGTTAACACATAGGACTCTCTTCTCACACCCTTCCCACCTGTCCTGAGGGAACAAAGCTGAGGTGTAGATTACAGCGGGAGATATTTGGGATGGGAGTAACACGTTTCATCTGGGAGAGAGTACTATGGTCAGGTTGCCAAATATAAAAGAAAGTTAAGCCCCATCACTACTTTGGCAAGAAATTTGGGTTCTCATGGCTAAACAGTGATAATCATTTTACACAAGACTTTAAAAAATGAAAGCACCTAGGGCACCAGCCAGAAAATGTCTGAGAATGTGTTTCCCGTCAATATTTACCCCAGATAAGACACTATCAGCTCACCCGTAAGGAAGGGTCTAAAAAGGAAACAGGGCACCTGACACCTTGGTGAATAAGAGAAGCTCAGCTTTATGAAAAGGCCGAAGTCTTAGGGCAACGGCTGCACTGTTCCAAGGTCTGATACGCCTATATGCCCAAGCAACAGGCAAGGCTCCTGTTACAGGCTCTGGCTCAGTCTGGACACCAATAAGCCTGAGACCCACCGGTCTGCACACTCTGGGGACACCAAGGGCAGGTCCCCCAGGGGAGCAGGGCTCCTCAAACAGAAAGACAAGAGTCAGAAGTTGCACAGTGTATGAGCACTCTCTGCTGGCAGCCGAGGCTAGAGATGCACCGGTGGTGTCCTAGGGCTCTCGAAGATTTCTGTGAGGAGGCGAATGGACATCCTGGCTTGGCCGGAGTTAAGAGCATCGTTCTGGTTAGGTTTAGGTAATTCCAGATGTTATGCTGAATGAGGAGGAGTTGAGGAGAGGCTACTGATAGGAGAAACTCCCAGAACTGGCAAAAATTATATGTGAAGTTGTTATATGATTTTCATTAATGTTTCCAGCTATTAACTTTCTATAAACTATATACAGGCCTACGTGTGGGCATGTGAGGGGGGTAGAGGGGGCGTGGGAGGAAATGAATTTCTGTCCAGTTCCCTTCATCTCAGGAGTCCTTGAGATGGTCCAGTGGTTTGCAACATTTATGGTTCTACTAGAAAATCCCATCCATAACCCTAATGCAATTGCCTGTGTCCACTACACCACTGCACCTGAGCCCTAGACAGGTGGTCTTTGTTTGTCTGTCAGCCTGGGCCAATAATACCAGTATCTCCCTTGTACTCTGTTCTGTCAGGGTCCTTCTGTATAACAAGATGAAGGTCAAAATGGCAGCCTGCAAAAAGCAGCAGTATTTCAGTGGCAGGAATAACTTGCTTGTCATCAACTTGTTAATGCAACAGTCAAGCATTTCTTTGACATGTACAGTATCAGCTAACTTCAGCAGATAAAGGGTCTAGAACAGGAAGATGCTGCAGATGCTTTAGCTCAGAGGAAAGGCTTAGCAGAGCCAAAACGTCAGCAGGGTCTGTTTGTTCCATACTTTCCATCGGGCTCTGTGAAAGAAATGTTAGATCACTGCAATGACAAGTTTGTGACAAGCAAGTCATTTGTGCAACTGGTGCGCTCCTGTTTTTATCTGTTTACCATTCAGACTTGTGAATGCCATTTCAAGCACTTACAGGATTTCTGGCTCCCATTAAGGGGAAATGGTTCCTCCATGTTTAGAATTTTCTGCCTCAAAGAGAATTACTAAGCAATTATTTATCCCTGTGGTCACAGTGTCACACAAAAGCACGCTCTGGAGTTGTTTCATTGGACTCTGAATCATGAAATGGAGTCCTGGGGGCTGGATAGCTTGGGGCATCAGAAATTTCTCATCTAGTTTATTGGAATGACTACAAAGCAAGCCTGTGAGAGTCAATAAAATTGTGGCCAGCTTAAAATACCTTGTTCCTTTGCTCCAGGATTACATATCAAGGCCATATGCTTCAAGGCACATAAACTCACTCACAATGAGTAGATCCTGAGAAGCCAAGGCCTGACTATGCCACAGACACTGACATGTGATCTCACATATGAGAGTTTCAGTGAAAAGGACTCCGTTAACTGTTAAGAAGGGAATTCACACAACCTTCTCTCCATATTCTGTGGGGTAACTGGAGGGCCAATCCAAATTCTGAAAACACTGCAAGTATAAAAAGTAATGTCATAATATAAAATTAACACTTGGGATCACCCTGCCTAGGCTGACTTTTTCATAGTAAATGGAGAGTCTGGCAGGTTTTGAATTAAGAATTCAAGATTGCCACACTGGATTCTTCCTCCAAGATGACTGAGTGACTTTTGGTGATTCATTTTTACCCCTTGGAAGGGAAAGTACAAATCAGTAATTCCTATTCCTGGTTCACCTAATGTGAATGGTCTCAGGGTCAATGTTGTAAAAGAAGAATGCTTTCAGAACTCAAGAACAAGACTAGTATTTCCCAAAAGTCATGTATGTGTCCTATCTGTGATTCAAATATTCTGTCTATTGTTGGTACCGACTTTATAAATAATTCTAGCTATACCCCTTGAAGAACATGGAAGCACGAGGTTTGGAGGCAGGGAGACAGATGCTCACAGTATTTGGAGGAGCAGAGCAAAGCTGAACCAGAGGGCGACATGTCAAGGATCGGACAGAAGGTCATGATGTGAAGTGAGGCAGAGCTTAGTATGGGTGACACAGAATGTCACAGAAATGGATGACAGTCTTTGCTGAATCAAATTTTTATTGTTAATAACCATTTGCCAGACACTACATGTGTTATATAATTTACATATGTAATGTAATCTTTCCCTAACTCGATGGTGTATGGATTATCTTTTTTTTTTTTCCCCCACATATTGGAACTAAAAGTCAGAGAAATTTAAATGCTTTACCACAAATCTGTAAGTAGCAGAGAGAGATTTGAAACAAGTTTTCCCTCACTCCCAAGCTCTTACACTCTTACACCATGGAAGAACTAAAGTCATTTCCACTGCCTTCAGAAGACGTTTTTCTAGCGTTTACTGGAAAACATTTCAATCTGTAAACGTAGATATTCATGAATTTGATATAAAAGGGCCATTGAGAATATTCTGGCTCCAGCTGTTGCCATCCTTCCGAGGCCTCTGGGAAAGCGGAGCACCATCAAGATGCCATTCCTTTCTCCCTGGCCTGACCTATTCCCACTTTCACACTCCGGGGAAGAGGTGAAACCGATTCTAACCTCATCACGCATCTCTGAGCTGTGAGTGCAAGGTGTTTGGCCGCGTCTCCTTGTGTCCATGCCAACTCCTTTCTCTCTCTTCACATGGATAGCCTTTAGTTCACCCTACTCTCTGCTCCCACATTACCTCCAGGGAGCCTCTTTTGTCTGCTATTCTTTCCAGGTGGGGGAAGGGGCGGACATCTTTCTTACCATGACAAGGATTACTGCAACAGTCTAAACTTCAAACTTTGCACAGAATGCATCCTTTGTTCAGTCTTCTGCTTTGTTTCTCTTTAATGATAGCTTTGCCACAGGTCCCTTGCGTGTGTAACTCAGAGCTATG